CTCCTCTATCATGTCAGTAAATATGCTTATCATGCATCTTTGGAATGTGGTAGGGGCGTTACAAAGTCCAAATGGCATCCTACGAAATGCATAAGTACCAAATGGGCAAGTAAATGTGGTCTTCTGTTGGTCTTCTAAGACTATTTCAATTTGATAATAACCAGAGTAGCCATCCAGAAAATAGTAAAAAGGATGGCCAGCCACACGCTCCAGGATTTGGTCTAAAAATGGGAGGGGAAAGTGGTCCTTATGGGTGGCAGCATTCAACTTCCTATAATCAATGCACATGTGCCATCCAGTCACTGTTTTTGTTGGGACCATTTCACCTACTTCATTTTTTACCACTGTGACACCAGACTTTTTAGGGACTACCTGTGTAGGACTAACCTATTTACTATCTGCAATAGGATAAATGATACCTGCATCTAATAGTTTCAGCACTTCATTTTTCACAACTTCTTTCATTGTCGGGTTTAGCCTACGCTGTGGGTCTCTTTTAGGGGTGGCTCCTTCTTCTAAATGAATCCTATGTGAGCAAATTAGAGGACTAATACCCTTAATGTCAGCTATGGTCCAACCTAATGCAGATTTGTGTTCATTCAGAATGTTTAAAAGTTGCTCACATTGTAATGCATCCAATTCTGAAGAAATAATTACAGGAAAAGTATCACCTGGTCCAAGGAATTCATGTTTCAATCCTGGGGGTAGCGGTTTCAAATCTGGTTTGGGGCTCTCAATGCTTGATGGTTGCTGGCCGCCCGTCCTTTCTGGCAATTCTTCAAATTTGGTTTGCCAAGGTGATATCCCATAGTCCTGAAATTTTGCAAAAATAGCATAAAGGTTAGCATATTCTTCATCATTAACACTTGCTGAATTTGCAGAATTCAAAAGAAAAAGATTTAAGGGGTCAGAATTTGTAGCCTCAAGTGCCTCCTCCTGAGTGAGTGCCTCAATCATATGTGTGTGGTGGCACTCATCACTTTCCATTGGTTGCTTAGCAATGTGAAAAATGTTGACTTCTAGAGTCATATTCCCAAAAGACAATTTCATTAGACCATTCCTGCAATTTATAAGGGCGTTAGCTGTGGCGAGGAAAGGTCTACCAAGAATAATAGGAATTTTAGAATCAACATTAACATCAACCTTCACATCCAAGACTAAGAAATCAACGGGGTAGTAGAATTTATCAATTTGAACCAACACATCTTCAACTACTCCCCTATGTCTTATAGTGGATCTATCAGCTAATTGTAGAACCACAGAAGTGGGTTTAATTTCACCAAGACCTACTAGTAAGTATATGGAATGGGGCATGAGATTAACACTGGCTCCCAGATCATGGAGAGCTTGTGCAAACTCATGGTTCCCGATGACACAGGAAACAGTTGGACAGCCAGGGTCCTTATATTTCGGTGGGATCCTTTGTTCAATCACAGCACTCACTTGTTCGGTCAAGAAGGCAGTCTTCTTGACAATGTGTTTCCTCTTCACAGTGCACAAGTCCTTAAGGACTTTCGCATATGTAGGAACTTGTGAAATTACATGCAAGAGTGGAAGATTGATTTTTACTTGCCTAAGGTGTTCTAGGATCTCACTGTGTTGATTGACTGATTTTGGGCTAAGCTTAAGGGCTTGTGGAAAAGGTACCCTCGATGGATTTCCTACTGCCTCATCACTAGGGCTACTTTCTTCAGACTCACTAGACTCCTTTTCACTTTCCCTAGGTTTTGAAATTGGTTCTATAACCTTCCCAGATCGGGTGGTGATGGCATTTGCTTCCTTAAGGTTACTCTCTCCTGAACCTGAGGTTTGAGCCATATGTTGTCCCTTAGGATTAGGTTGAGCTTGTGCTGAAAATTTCCCACGTTCCCCCAAAGTTAAGGCATTGGTCAATTTAGACACATGATTTTTTATCTCCTTATTTTCCTCCACTACCTGGTTAATCATAGTCTCAAACTTCTGATTGGTCTTGCCTTGTGCCTCTATGAATGCATATAAGGTATCTTCTAAAGAGTTCCTAGAGGGTATGGGTTGATATGATGGTGCACTGTAAGTTCTATTTGATTGGGTAGTTTGTTGGTTTTCAGATTTCCAGCTGAGATTGGGATGATTGCGCCACCCTGGGTTATAGGATTCGGAGAAAGGAGAATAGGGCTTCCTATATGTGCCTAAGGCATTACAATGTTCCTCATAAACCCCTCTCATCTCAATTAAAGTGGTGCACTCTTGGGCTAGGTGATCTACTCCACCGCACACAAAACAAGGTCCCAAAGATTCAACACGCGAAACAGTTTGTGCAGGTTTAGAGCCTTTAGCACGCAAGGTCTCAAATTCCTTAGTAAGGGCTTCCACTTTGGCCTTAAGACTATCTTCTTCCCTAAGTTGGTAGATACCTATACTAGTGGGGTTTCCTGGGGGTCGTGACCTATTGGTACTATCAGTAGGGCTAGGTCCTGTCCAAGTATGAGCTTTCTCAGCAAGATCGTCTAGATACTCTATGGCCTCATCCGGGTCCTTTTGCAGGAAATCACCGTTACACATCATCTCTACGAATTGAAGTTCCCTAGGTGTTAATCCCTCATAAAAGTAACTAACTATACGCCAACTCTCATAACCATGGTGAGGACAAAGGGCTTGTAGTTCTTTAAATCTCTCCCAGGCTTGATATAGGGTCTCACTATCCTTTTGGGTAAAAGATGAGATTTGCTTCGTAAGGGCGCTAGTCTTATGGTGGGGAAAGTATTTATTAAAAAATGCTTGCGTCATTTCAGCCCCATGTACCAATTGAACGTGGTCTCAACGAATATAGCCAGGTTTTTGCTCTCTCTTTAAGTGAAAACGGGAAAAATTTTAA